GCAAAGCTTCAATGGCTCCCCAATATATCAAAACTAGCTAGCAGACTTAGTTCTGCAGCATATGCTGTAAAAAAAGATTAGAACTCTTACCAGTGTTGAAACAGCAAGAATAGTTTACTTAAGTTATTTCCATAGCATTATGTCGTATGGTATTTTGCTATGGGGACACGCCACTGACACTGAAATTATATTTATTTTACAGAAGAGAGCCATTAGAGCAATATATAATTTAAAACCAAAAGAGTCACTGAGACAAAAATTTAAGGAAATTAATATATTAACTCTGGCCTCTCAATATATTTATGAAAATGTAATGTACGTACACAAGAATAAAAGTAGTTTTGCAAAAATAAGTGATATTCATTCTGTAAATACTAGGAACAGACACAAGCTAGTAGTACCAGTTACTCGACTTCACCGAGTCAGTAATTCATTCTTGGGGCGATGTATACGCTTTTACAACAAAATCCCAGAAAATATACAAAATTTGTCATACGTAAAGTTCAAAAATTTTATTAAACTAAGTTTGTATAAAAAGGGTTATTATAATATTAAGGAATTTATGGATTATAATAACCCCTGGGAAGGGTAATCGCTACTAAGCTATTTCTAATTTGTCTTGTGTTGTTAAAATTGTAAACATGATTGTAAGCTATTATTTGAAAAAAAATAGTCCCGCTGGGTTTCTTGCTGGTTCTTCCCAGGACAGAGGTTATTTTTTGCGAACCATTGGTAAATGAAAAAATTGACTTTCACTAAGTATTGTTTATAACCTACATTGAATAAAAAAGTTTCTGTTTCTGTTTCTGTTTCAAAACAATAATTATATCTAAAAACTTGTGTTACCATGTTTTGTGTTATCATAAAGTCCTTCTACTCATGATATAGTGACAAGAATGCTGACTGCATTTCCTCGCTGAATAGCTATACTTAGCCTTTGAGCGAGAAAAGAACCAGCCCTCATAACACCAGCAGCAACAACCAGTAGTGGATCGAATTCCTTTAGAAACTTCATTGCACATGGACCTCACAGACCGATAGTCTCAACAGCATATGGCACAAATATATAGTCATCTCTCTGAGACTCATATTTGCACCACTTACGTAGTTCAGCTGCTTTTGACGCCCGCCTGGCTTCTAATCGAGGTACCCCTAAGATGACAGGCTGCCAAAGTTTCCATGCAAGTAGTATCGCCATGTAGGTCTTTACCTCTCTCCTGAGGCACCAAAGTCAAACCATCGGGTCCCTTGCCATCATCTCTTAAATATTCCACAAGGCTCTAAAACCGAATATTAATAATTTAGTTGTAGAGTATTGTATATATACATATATATATATATATATATATATATATATATATATATATATATATATATATGTATATACAGTGGATTTTATTAATAACGACCTCGGTTGTAACGACTTTTTGGTTATAGCGACGTCAAACTTACGTCCCTTGAATTTACAGCATACTTTCATAAGAAATTCATTCGGTAATAGCGACTTCGGTTATAGCAACAATTTCGGATATAGCAACCCTTGCGGATATTGCGACTGAGTCGTCAAAGGCACAAAGACTCATTCATAAAACTATTAAGCTTTCTTATCCTTTGTTTTTTCTTCAAACACAAGAAAAGGAGGATGAAGAAGAGGAAGAAGATTACAATCTAAATAAGATTCCAAGAACTAGAGATGCATTATGTGTTATAACAACGCTCAAAAAGTACTGTTTATTTGGTGAAGGCCAAAATAATTTAGATGTTTAAGGAATTATGAAAATGGAATACACCTTACAGCGTGCACAAAAAACTAAATTTAAACAGTGCACTATAACACGTTTTTTCATTTACGCCCATGTATAACATAATTAAATAAATGATAAGTAAATATGTAATTTCGGATATAGAGACCTCCGGATATAGCGACGACATTAAAGTGGTCCCTCCGCCGTCGTTATAACCGAAATTCACTGTATATATATACAGTGTGAGTCTTTATAAAGTGCACATATCAAAACCAGGGAAACTACATATAATTTCATCGAAGGAAAAATTATTAAAAAAAAAATATAAAAAATTATTTATTTTTTATGAATATTTTAATATTTGAAATTGCAGCTGCTAACACTATTTAAATAAATTGTTATAACTTTTAAACTGAATGTCCTATCAAAATGGAATAAATTTTCAAATGATTTTAAATTTATTCCATTTTAATATTTCCGTGCCAATAAAGTAAAAATTTCCAAAAAAATTAACGTCATAAAATTAGAATAAAGAGGTTTTTGATGAAAATCTGGTATTTTTTCATCATTTTTACAATAACTTTAAAATTTCTCGAAAAATCGTCCCCTTAATCCAACTTTTTTTTAATCTTATGTTATTCTACATCATACTAGCTTTCTAATGGTAAAAAATGCACGTTTATTACTCAAATGCAACCATCTCCATGAGTGTTTGAAAAAGCCCTTGCGTTTGCGCATAGTTGAGCTACGCACCCGCCATTTTTTATCAGGCAGGTAGAGACCCTTTTTTTGGATGAGTCATTGTTTTAATAAATAATAAATGATTTATGTAGATAAAATCTAGTTTTATTCCTAAAAATGTAGTTTTCTCTACCTGCTATTGTGCTTAACTGAGTTATGTGCTTTTTTTAAAATGCTAATTAATAAAGTTGTATCTGAGTAATAAACGTGCATTTTTTGCCATTAGAAAGCTAATATGATGTAGAATAACATAAGAGTAAAAAAAAGTAGGATTAAGGCGACGATTTTTCAAGAAAATTTAAAGTTATTGTACAAATGATGAAAAAAATACCAGATTTTCATCAAAAACCTCTTTATTATAATTTTATGATGTAATTTTTACTTTATTGGCACCGCTTATTATTAACAGTCATTTAAAAATTAATACAATTTTGATAAGACATTCAGTTTAAAAGTTATAATAATTTATTTAAAAAGGGTTAGCAGATGCAATTTCAAATTTTAAAATATTCATAAAAAAATAAATAATTTTTTATAATTTTTTCGTCGACGAAATTATGAGTAGTTTCACTGGTTTTGATATGTGCACTTTATAAAGACTCACACTGTATATATATATAGTCTAAACTTGTGGTTTCTACAGTAAGGGCATTCTGCCATTATTGTTTTAAATAATAAAGGCAAATCCGAATATGTGATTGCTTTACAATTGAAGTTATCGAAGACTTATCTTCATGGCACAATAACTCAATACAGGGAGACAGGCACTTTTCAAGATCATCCAAGCTTGGGAAGGCCGCGAGCTACCATGTCAAGTGAAGATCATTTCATAGTTGTTACCAGGAAGCGAAATAGACGCTTAACAGCACCGGAAATCCACATTGAAGTGAACAAAACCCTAGTTTTTTTTTATCCTTTATTTACTACAATCTTTAGCCTTTGAGGGACATTCAGTAGTATGTTTGTTGGTGCTATCGCTGGCGTGCTCATCACACACGTCACATCCTCATTATTAAACAGTACAACAGATAGACAGACAGACAAACAGTCGTCTAACCAAGGTTCTAATGAGACTGAACAAGCCACAGATCAGGATAGTAACAAGTGCTACCACAGGACATGGCTCTTTTAACAAACATTTGTTGTCGTGTTGCCGTTCGAAAACCTCTGCTAAGGCCATAAAACAAGAAAAAACAGATGCAATGGGCCCTTGCCCATTGAGATTGGACTGAAGATTATTTTGGAGAAGGATTCATTTTCCAACAGGACAATGATCTCAGGCATAGCTCAAGAATATGATATGAATATTTGGAAGAGAAAGAGGCACAAGGGGGTGTTAAAAAACATGGTTTGGCCTCCTCAGAACCCAGATCTCAATCCCATTGAACTTTTGTAGGAAGAGCTTGATAGGAACGTCCGTAATTGTGGTCCATCCTCATGAGAAGAAATGTGGAATACTTTGTACGAAATTTGGAGCAATATATCACAAGACACTATCAACAAATTGATTGCCCATATGCCGAGACTTGAGAAAAAAGTCATAGAATGCAAAGTTGGATTTTTCGATGAAAAATTAGTTTAGCTATTATATTAAACTTTTTTTAGCATGGACTGTTAATATTTCTTTACACTTTTAAGTATATTGATTGTCAAAAAGTGTTTTATTGGATGACTTAACAGTTTAGTTATACATTTAATATTTTTTTGGAGTTTTATTTAATTTTCTTACTTTAATTAAGGTGGTCTTAAACTTTTGGCCGGCAGTGTATGTACTTATAATAGTACTTTAATAATATTTCTCACATTTTTGTAAATTAAAGGAGTTACTCTATAGAGTTATTTTAAATTTGAATATGCAGCCTTATAAACTATGCTTGCAAGATTTTCAATATGTAAGCCTTAGAATTTAAAAGAAAGTTTGGTTGATTAATTAACTTCCCAGTGGGAAGTTATTGTAATGGGTCCAATTTTGCAAATTTTAAATTTTAACGTATCTCCATGTTTCAAGGTCTTTAGAGTTGAATAGTATGGTTTTTAACAGGATGTCCATGTGTGCACATGTATGTATGTATGTTCAGCTTCAATTTTCGCCTCGTGTATTTCAAGAACAAAGAGTGATATTGACATGAGAACAGTTTCATTTAACTCATAATTATGTAACTTAGACCTGAAAGAGCTGTGCCAAATGAAAAATTATATAAAATATGAAAACATATATTTTTTTATTCTTTCCACAGGGAAGTTAGTCATGTGGACCTTTCGGGTTGCACCTAGACAGCTTTTTATTTTATTTTATTCAACTAAGCATTTAGTAAAACAATTGTAACACCTACAAATGTGTGTTATACAAACCGCTTTAGTACCTCAACGCCGTGGTAATGGTATGTTTTAATAGGAAAAAAGAAACAGCAGCTGGGCATACAAGTTATCAGAACCATGTATATGATTAAAAAAAATCTTTAGACTGGAAATTGTTAGAAAAAAAAGAAAAATAGTTTCCATATTTACACTCACCTGAAAGCCCAACGACCGACACCGTCACCAGTTTCCCACCGACATTTTCCGATTTTTTAGCCATTTTCACAAACAAATGATCACTCTACTGGTATGTAACAAGATAAAATGACGATATCACTTGATATAAACATCACAACACCACTTTCTAAATATTAATAACATAAAACTAATAATCATTAAAAGCACGGATTCTGTAAAATTTCGTGACACAAGTTATGACCGTAAGTTATTTTATACATATTTACATACATCAAACAATACTATGTCATTTCAAATAATATATACTAAGCTAAGTTAATAGGACTATTACAAATAAAGAGCATTTTTCCTAATTAGTAAAAAAAGAAAGGAGAAATAGCGTTCACAATGATCGCCAGATGTGCCGACATTCAATAAACGCCCAGTTTTATTACAGGCATCACACAACGTTCATAAAGGCTTCGTAGAATATTGAATGTGTAAAGTAATAAAAATTAGATTTATAAATCATGATATATAAAACGTAATCAGACAATTTATTGCGAACACATAAATATATACAGCCCTACACTTGACACACCAAATTACAGTGTTTCAATCACAACCAATATAATGAAATTACTAATTAATAATTTTGAAATATGAGATTATTAAGCAATGCAACACAAATCGTACAATTTACATTTTTAATTATTGGAATTGAATTTCTAAAAGAAAACGCAATAATAGCTAGACTAGACTGACTGACACAACTCGCGTTGCTTTATAGCTTTATACTAGTGACGCACGAAGTCGAATCGATTACCTTAAATATCGACCAAAATCCTACTACATTCAATGACTAAACATTTAATCGTAATCACTCTAAAAATAGGTTAAGGTTACGCTTTTCAAAGCTCATTGTCAGTCCTTCTATACATGCAGCCTGTAGGTTAATTATACACGGAGGGCATACAATGGTTTGCTCGTCCAATACAATAACACGTTGAGCTGGAGCCATAATACGCAAAAGATGTGTTTCCATGCTAAATCGCATGCGGGCTAGCACCAATCAAACCAATTACCCATTCATCCTGAGCGTACTAGTGGACAGATGGGATTCACCAATGTTGGGGCGTCGCATAAATCTGCATATTGCAAATTATACACGCCATGACCTTGAGTTAGTACGTTTATTTTTATTCTATTAAATCTAGGTTTATATTTATTATATTTAATTTTCTTTAGTGTAAGGGGTCTTAGGGTTATAAATTGTTAAAAAATATAATTAATCGGTCTGAAATAAAAAATAATCATATTTTATATTTTAAAGGGCAGTACTGCTAACTTTAACACAATAAATGATTGCAATAATATTTTAAAAGCATCTAATAATTATAATAAATTGCACACAAAAAAGTATATCAATTGCATGCAAGAACAGTAATTAATACATGAAATATGCACCACTTTTTATGAAGAAAAGGTAGATAGGAGTAAACAAAATGTGCTTTTAAAATAAAGATTTAGACGTTGCTGCTTCGACATTCCATCCGTACTTAAGCATGAATCGACGTGGCATCACGCAGCAACAAATAAGTAAATATCTATATAAAAGTGTAACTTTTGACTTCTTTTGAAATTTCAAATGAAAATCGTACTTACATTTTTACAAAATATGGTTAGAGTATTTATCATCGTTGTGATTTGAAATTCGATGAAACGAAAAAGCGACATTAAAATGAGACAAACGTATACATCTAAAGGAATTAGCCTGCTTGATAATGAGATAGAATACAGTTAGTAAGCGACAGTAGCCTAACCGTGGGGTTCGGAACGCAAGCTCAATAGGTTTGGGTTCAAATCTGCCATTCGACTGCTGTAATGAATCACTCCTAACACAAGCATTTTGTATTTTTCAGCTTACCAACAGTGGTTAAAGGGAATTTTGGTAATGTTAATAGCAATGCTAATATTTAAAAAAAAAGTGTTTTCTAATATTATCTTTAAAGCACCGCACAACGAGGGGACCGTCTTTGCGCTGTGATTTAAAGATGGTTAGTATAAATTTAACTGTTAAAATAAATAGTTAAAAAATAACTACTAATAATATACAATAATTTATTAAGTAAATAACCAAATTTAATAAAATTATTATATCTAACTCTTTCATATCAATCCACAAATTCATAGCATACCGATTTATATTAAATTATTTTTCTTTATGTGATTTAGCGCCCACTTTTATTTCAATCAATTTTTGTTCGATAAAATTACTCCACTAAATTTTACCTGTAGAATAACGTATATGGAGCTATTACACGAAAGCAAATATTCTTTTGATTTATTACACTTAAACTAAGTCTAACAATAAAGATTGTATTTTTGCTATAAAATTAAACTTTAAACTTATATTTTATGCCGCACTTGTGGTTGAAAATGATCATATTAAATAAGATATTTGCCGAAAAATATTTTTATTTTATTCCTCATTTCATTTGGAAGTTTCACTTCTACAGCGTATAAACTGCACACAGGTTTTTTTTAGTTTTATTGACATAATGTACGATAATCGATTTTAAGTCTATATATAAATCAATTGTGGATTATAAGCGTAATCGATCACTAAAATAATCGAATCCACACACCACTACATTGTAATAAACAGAACAGCCAACATACTAAATTAAATCAACCATAGACTTCATAACGTAATGTTGATGTAACAAATCATAGATTTAGTCATGAAGGTTAGAGAACAGGAGAGCGATCGCTGTAGAAAATAATCAATTTGGTTTCACAAGGGGTCGCTCGACAACTGATGCTGGTGTTGAGCTGATTAAATATATATTTAATGCATGGGAGAATTCACAGGATGCTTTGGGTTTGTTCTGTGACCTATCCAAGGCCTTTGATTGTGTTCACCATGAAACATTAATCAGGAAACTTCAACACTACGGTGTAAGAAATGATGCTCTTAAATTAATTATTTCATATTTAAGTGACAGAACACAAAAAGTTGTTATTAATAGTATGAGTTCTTCTGGGTCGATTGTACAAATGGGCGTGCCTCAGGGCTCAATTCTTGGCCCCTTTCTGTTTCTTGTATATATTAATGACTTACCTTACATAGTAGGGGATAACCATGATATAGTATTATTTGCTGATGATACTTCATTAATTTTCAAATTAAAAAGACAGTTATTAAATTACGACGAAGTAAATAATGCTATAGCTAAGTTATTCAATTGGTTTAATGTTAATAATTTGCATTTGAATGGAACTAAAACTAAATGTATGAAATTCGTAACTCCTAATGTTAAACATGTCAATACTAATGTAATTTTAAATGGGGAGGAACTGAGTCTTGTTGATACCACCATTTTTCTTGGAATCACACTGGACGCAAAGCTTCAATGGCTCCCCCATATATCAAAACTAGCTAGCAGACTTAGTTCTGCAGCATATGCTGTAAAAAAGATTAGAACTCTTACCAGTGTTGAAACAGCTAGAATAGTTTACTTCAGTTATTTCCATAGCATTATGTCGTATGGTATTTTGCTATGGGGACACGCGACTGACACTGAAATTATATTTATTTTACAGAAGAGGGCCATTAGAGCAATATATAATTTAAAACCAAAAGAGTCACTGAGACAAAAATTTAAAGAAATTAATATATTAACTCTGGCCTCTCAATACATTTATGAAAATATAATGTACGTACACAAAAATAAAAGTAGTTTTGCGAAAATAAGTGATATTCATTCTGTAAATACTAGGAACAGACACAAGCTGGTAGTACCAGTTACTCGACTCCACCGAGTCAGTAATTCATTCTTGGGGCGATGTATACGCTTTTACAACAAAATCCCAGAAAATGTACAAAATTTGTCATACACAAAGTTCAAAAATGTTATTAAACTAAGTTTGTATAAAAAGGGTTATTATAATATTAAGGAATTTATAGATGATAATAACCCCTGGGAAGGGTGATCGCTACCAAGCTATTTCTAATTTGTCTTGTGTTGTTGATTGTAAACATGATTGTAAGCTATTATTGGAAAAAAATAGTCCCGCTGGGTTTCTTGCTGGTTCTTCCCAGGACAGAGGTTTTTTTTGCGAACCAGTGGTAAATTAAAAAAGTGACCTTCAATAAGTATTTTTATAATCTACATTGAATAAAAATGTTTCTATTTCTATTTCTATTTCTATAATGTCCCAGAAATATGGACACCATAAGTGAGGCGCTACGATCACGTCAAAAATTACAAAATTACGGAGCATGAAAATTTTCTCACCAATGCCGCGGAGAAAATTTGTAGATTATTCAACTAACTTCATCTACTTGTACTCGTAAACAGCTAACTTCGCAGTCACTACTCACCGACGATAGCGCCGCTATAAATTCTACAATTTTTAAGGACAGGCGGGCTATGCTTTAGTACGTAGTGATCGTTCTCCTGTTTTCTAACCTTCATGGATTTAGTATAATTTATACGAGATCTATGTAACAAATACTCAAAATCTTAGAATCGCATAAAACATAGACAATATACACGACAACGTCGATAGAGAATGCCATCAGTCTGTGATGCTATCTCTGTCTACGCACGACAAGTAGTAGATTTTAGCAATTTTGTACAATTCGTTGAAGGGTAGATATGTATATAATATATTAAATGATACTAAAGCCTTTTGAAAAACTAGTTCGTTCAGCACTGACTTTCGAAAACAGGAAGCAGCCGCACCCCAAAAGGGAAATCTGTTTGTTGTTCTATAATAGAAAATGAAAATCCAAAATGAAAATGAAAGAAAGATGAAAATGAACAAGAGCGTTATCAGTTATCAGAGTTGAAAGACCTTACAGTTGGAAAAGGAATGTACCTGTGCAAGAGGTACTGCTGAGCAGAGGGCGGGCCGAACATGTGCTATCGCATTTCACTGAGTCAGGCCTCTGTCACGCTTGCTACCTGCGTGAAATAATTACCTACAATCGCGAGTCACCCAGGGTGAAATACGCAGTCGGGGCTAGCGCGTTGTAGGCGATTGTATCCTAAAGTTTTTTAACCCTTCGATCCCCATAAAAATCCGATGCAGTCG